TTTCTTCTAGAAAAACTGTAATTCAACTAATCATGTTCTTAAAGCTATCACTCATTTCAATTCACTCAAGGAAAGTGTACACTTCAAACTGGATTTAAAAAAAAAAATCCTAATTATGTTTTGCAAAACTTTGACAATGAACGATAAGCAATTTTGAAATGCCACATTTTATACAAAAACATCCAGACACCAGTTAAGATGCAAACCTCTGCCTTATAGAACAGTGGGCCACCTGAGCCCTGCAGAGTTTTACTGGTGCCTGGGGTAGTATCCTTCTAAGTAATGCTGCACACTGGCTCATTAGTCACGGGATAGAGTCCTTCACCACAGGATATGAGATGAATTGGAGAAATACACACATACACTGCACACCTGCACACACACATACAGACTGTTCAAGCAGCAAAAAAATCTGCAGTAGAAGTACAAGTTTCTGGAACCAAATACCATTTTTATCAGCAGAGAAGTGACAGGTGTCTAGATGAGCATCCAACACATTTTGAACTTGTCATAACTGTAGAACATTGATCAAATCTTCATTGTGATCAATCACACAAGATGAGATCTATCTTGGGTCTGCTACAATAATTACACAACGGCCTGTCAGATGTCCAATAATATGATGCTGTTGGTACAAGGAAGAAAAACACATGGTGGCATAGTGCAGCCTCATGTGATATTCAACCATCTATTTATACAGATTAAAGCTTCTTGTTTGACCACTTTTTCAAACATCACTGCACTAAACAAGGTGTGACTAAGGGTGTTATTAAATGGTACTTGTAACATCATACTGAATGTGATGGTATTGTGTTAAATTGATTTGCATTGATGGCTTTGGATTATAATCTTAATTGTTTTAAATTTGGATTTATGATTTGAATATTAATTTTTTTGTTGTATAATTCTGTCAGGTTATCTGGACGTTTTTTTTTTTTTGTTTGTTGTTGTTTGTTTCTGCTGAGACGTTTTGACTATCATCCAAAGGACTTCTTCAATTTGAGGAGCCACCAAACAGAACTGATTCCCACAAACAACATAGTCCATAGTGGGGAAAAAAAAAACAAAGTCTGATGGTACTAAGATGGCCTCCAGGGCCCGCCCTCTCCCCTGTCAACTCCTCTGAGACAGTCTTGTCAAAGTGGTCCAAATCACCAAAGTTCACGCTCAATAATCCAGGTATAAAATCCAACAATGTTCAGTCAGGTCACCTGGACAGTTTCTTTTTTTCTTTTTTTTTTTTGCTGAGAAATAGTTTTTTCCACTATGGAGAATGCTGTTTGTGGGAATCAGTTTTGTTTGTTCGCTCCTCAGATAGAAGAAATCCTGTGGATGAAGGACAAACGTCTCAGCCAAAAAGAAACCATCTAGATGGTCTGACTGAACATTGTTGGATTTTTACCTGGATTATTGAGCATTAACTTTAGTGTTTTGAACCATTTTGGCATGGTTGTCTCAGAGGAGTTTACAGGAGAGAGGGCAGGCCCTGGAGGCCATCTTAGCACCAGCAAACTGTTTTTCCCATAATGGCGTATACCATTTGTGGGAATCAGATTTGTTTGGTGGCTCCTCAGGTTGAAGAAATCCTTTGGATGAAGGACGAAACATCTCAGCAAAAAAAGAAACCATCCAGATGACCTGACTGAACATTGTTGGATTTTTACCTGGATTACTGAGCACGAACTTTGGTATAATTGTAGTGTTTATTTGCTTCAACATATATGTGTAAAACCTCATTGCAAGAACGATGTGTTTGTTTAACATTTCTGGAAATCAAACATACATATAATCTCTATGTTATGCAAATGTACAATGCACACAGTACAAAATAAGGCTTATGCACGTTGTGTCTTGACTTTTCGGGGCAATAGAAAGATTTAAGCATGAGCTAAAAATGTACTTAAAATGACAGCTATTTTACTGCATCAGGAGATGGTTCTGCTCTTGTTTAATCTTCAATATCACTTCTTCAGCAACTGTTATTACTGTGCTACTTGTTTATACTTCCTCAGTTTTAGATACAAACGAATGCCAGCTGATAACTCTTGTCTACTCTTGACTATGAATAGAGGGATAAACAAAATTCAATTAAATGTTTGTAGAGTTACATATCACAGTTTTATTAAATAACCTAATTGTAATGTGATAAAAAGAAAATATCAGCGTTAGAAGATATGACTGATCAGAAAGACAGAATTTCTTATTTATCAGTGTTTCCTTGACAAAATAAAAGCTCTACCCACAGTCTGTAATGATTACAAGCAAGACGTAGCTACTAAATTTTAATTAGCACAAAAGAAGCATACACTATTCAGTATATGCTGCACTCAGTTTTAATGGTAATGCAAAAGTGTGAATGTTCTCTATTGAACTCAGGTCACAGTTAACATTGTAATTCCTTTAGATATGGCATAATTTCTCAATACTGCAGTGCAAAGTAGTCATTATTAACGCATGTTACTTTCTGCCACACACTTACTTATGTAGACGTGAGTCAAACATCTATATTCACACACTTGTAATGAGGTAAACTATAGACTGAAGGTCATCCATCGTCAACATTTGAAAAGCAGAAAGAAAAACAAAGTACGCAGGAAATAAAGCTTGAAAACAATTGACGACTGAGTGGAAATGGCTTGAGTGCCTTAGGCTACATCCAATTATATTGACATTTCATGTCCTCCCAGACCTCATTTCAAAGGCATGGAACACTAAAGGAAGTCCCAGCTATAATGAACATTTTCTTCTCGTTTCGTGCAGATCAAGTTTACAGCTAAAAGAGCAGCTTAAAGATTGCTCACCAAAAATGGTCTTGAAACACAACAAAATTGTACAGGGACAATTTACTTCAATGTCCCTACTGGAGTTTGCTGCTGTTTATTATCTCTGGGCAACCTTCCAGTCGAAGAAAGACAGCAGCCAAACAAATCCCTGTGCGAATATTAGCTTAAAGAATTCTCTTTAATTTTTTGTGCTCATTGTATTCTGGGAAACAGCATTCCTTGTTATTTGTCTCTCTGTCCATCAATCCATACATCCATCATGTCCTGATCATCTGCCCTTCTTGCCTAGTTTTTGTTGGACCATTTATCTTCTCATTTAAGTGGGACAGAGAATCCAATATCAGTGTGCCTTTAGGTTACCTGTAAGAGAAGATGAAGCTGAACGGCTGTAAACAGAGATGTGATCAATGTCTATGGGTTAGACAACATGAAACAAGCTGATGCCTCAACCATCAACTCACCTTTTAAATCCTTTATATAAAACACCAACGCCTATAAGTGTTACGCTTTTCTATCATTTAAATAATGTGACAGAGTCCGTTTCCATTCTATTGCTTACTCGTGTTACCAGTACTTGGAAACATGATAAAAATACCAGAGCTTTTACTTAATATACACAAGGGAGAATCTTGGCAGTAGATGTGTTTATGACATTCATAAATACTCCGGTTCCATTACTAAGACAATAACGGTGGGACCTTATAAAGGCAAAGTAAGGAACACTGTGAACTTAGAAATGTATGAAATTATTGCAAACTCTTAATTGAGATGTGCAAAGCTGACCTACTTCTGAGGAAGAGAAGAAGAAAAAAGCTCCCCAGGGTCACAGCTTTCATAATATTATTCCCTACAGAGGAACATTCATTTTAATATCCTTCTTTTCTGCTTTATTCTTAAACATGTACTTCACTAACTTTTCAGTTTATATGCATCTATAATTTTATTGATTTATGGTTGCTAAATGGCAACAACAAATATTATGGGCTCTACACGCAATAAAATGTATACAAAAATATGAACTTTTTAATGCAACAAAAGCAACATTTTTGTTTAAGTAAACTGAACATATGTTTATTACACACAGGCCTAAAAATTATATTTTGTGTGACTGACCAACGTCATTATTTTCTAAAGATTTAAACAAACCTTTTTAGGTTAGGATGCTTAGGATACACAAAATTGGCAGAAAATAGGCTAAAAGTCGTGGTAGTAGCTAAGGCTCATTTCCAAGAGCACACAAAATTTTGCAATAATGAAGGAAGTAAAACATAATATTAATATCAAGATTTAACCAAAACAGTGATCACTCCATTAGTTCTTTATAGTTTTCTGGCCTTTAAGTCAGTAGGCAATGTACATTACTTCAAATAATGCCTTACATTAAAGTCTGTAACTTCTGTGTTACAGATTCACAGTGACTGTTCTTATAGACATCAAACAACCAGTTTCATGTTCAGAACAAACTCAGTCTATAAATTGGATTTAGTCTTACATCCATATGTGATATGGTAAAGTCAAAAGCTCATATTATGTGTTACTTTGCACTGGCTTCATTTGAGCTCTTTGGAAGAATGTTGTGCTGTTTACTTGATCTGATCTTCTCAGTGTCACATGTGAGATATTTCCTCCAAAGTAATTCTAATGATCGTCTGGTATGGACATAGTCCTACATAACAAATCATTTCTTTCTGTTTCTATCGCCTCAGCATCATCTCCAACCCTGAAAACCAGAGTCAGTTTAGTGTCTCATTTATTTCATCCAAGATAAAACAATTAAAATTTGAGCTTCAACATGAAAGTGTGGTCATTGCAGCAGTGAAAACACATAGGCTCTTTATTGCTCATATATTACTGTTGTTATATCAGCAGTTATGTGTGTGTGTATTTATGCACCACGTGGCATGTTTATCCCAAGCCTGTTTTAAAAAGCATTTACACTTCTGTTTTTTATCAAATGCTTTTTTACAGAACCATCTTTGATCATAGGTTAGTTCGTAGAAGCTCAGTCAAATCCCAAAGGAAAAACTTTAAACAAGCACAATTAAATGCCACAGTGGTCACCATGCCACATTGCACTTCTTTGCATAAACAAGAGGAACAGATGGAAAACTCTTATCCATCATATAGTTCTTGTTAAAGCGTTGACTCTGCACAGCATCAGCATCTACATAAACTTGCAAGCTGACAGTTGGTGTCCCTCAGTGCGGCGAGTCTTACCTCCAAGGCAGCAGACCTTTTTCGCAGCAGCTGTTCAATGTTCCTGGCTGCTCTGGCCACCAGCTTATCTGCATCGTTTTGCTCCACGGTGTAGAGGTGCTGGTTCCTCAGAAACATCTGGATAATTGGAAATCAAACAATCACATATGGAAATTATACTGTCTCTTTTATTACGTATTACTAAACCAAAAATATTATAAAATAAAAATGTACTGCTAAGAGAGGAGTGAAAACTGACAGCATTGTCTAGTGTATTAAGGAAGGCATGGTAAAGTTTAGTTATGACTGTATACTTAAAGTTTTGGGACGTTTATACCTGAGAGAGATGCTTCCCAGCTGTGGCTGTGTCTGCCAGGGTGACAAGCTCTTTCTGCATCTGATCAACCCATTCTTTAACCCTGTGGGACAACACGATGCACACAATCAATCTTGGGACTGAAATGTTTGCAGTTAAGAACCGACATCTTGGGTATTTCAAAGCATAATTAAACTGTCAATCACACAGTCACACATCTATCCTCTAACATGAACATCCAGGCAGATGCATGAAAACAACCAGAAACAAACACAACCCCTTCTTCAGGTTAAGCGGAATGTCATCCAATCTAACTCTAACAAACACAACAGGATTTAATAAAACACGTGTCACTAGTTGCCTACTGATGCAGTTTCTATAAAAGAGATCAAAAATAAAGTCAACTCATCAGATAAGCATCAGTCATCATGAAGGGGGGAGTGATTTGATGGGACAGGCAAGATGAGAGGTGGGAGGAAACCCCGATCAGCACGTCATCCTTTATATAAAAAAAACAGCCTCAGTGTCAACCTGCTGGTGCCACAGATGTGTCATACAAATAGAACACCCAAAGAATAGAAAAAACAAAACTGATTTGAAAACTTGGGACAAAAAGTTTTTCTAAACCAATTTAAATCTGTGTTACACTCTGGATTACATGCATGGTGTTATAGTTTTGTTGTTTTCAGTCATTTTGCCAAAACTACAACACCCTTCCCTTTCTGGTAAGGTGTAAATGACAAGAGGATAATGGCAGTAGCATTACACATTTATCAAATAATCGTAAGAGCATTTATCCGAACTGTAATAACAACATATTTGTGTACATCCTAACGCAGGGGTGCCCAGTACAGTGATCACGATCTACCGGTAGATCACTAACGTAATATCAGTGCATGGAGAAATAGACATAAGACCTTTTTTGTTTTAGAATTTCCTTTAATTTTATTTTTAAACAGACGTCAGCCGATCAATCCATTTTCACTATGTTAATCGTCACTCAACTGACATACAGGTTAGCCAATCTGAGGCCGACCTTTTCTGACACATACTGTAGGTCACCACACATGCGCATTCAACCGCGCTAAAAACTAACGAGTTGACTCGTAATAGCCTCCAGCTTATAAATAAACTCAAGAAAGTGTGTAAAATGAGTTGGGGAGCTGGACCAAGTAAGCAAAAAAATCTAACATTTCCATATGGAATGCGGGGGGGGGGACTTTTTTTTTTTCACGATTCGAAGTGCGTTTCACCGGAGTGGCATTTTCGGACTATTAACACTACCTCACAGACTTCCTTCTGAAAAGTGAGCTGAGAAAGAAAACGAAGAAGGAACTAAAATCCCATTTATCTGGACAGCAGTTATTTTTCCTACAGCTGACCACAGCAGCGAAGCATCAGTCCGGGCGAGTTGCTTTAATAATTGTTAAGCACAAGAAGTCTTTTCAAGATAGAGAGATGGTTAAAGAGTTATTCGTTGAAGCAACTGACTCGTTGTTCAGAGACGTTCAAAACAAACCAGAAATATTATCTTCCATCAAAGCTCTCCAGGTATCAAGAAATACAGTTACAGTTAAAAACAGCTGCTGTCAGGGCTGAATTTTTCTCAGGTTATTATTCAAACTTGAAGTTATTCTTGTTGTTTTCTGTTCCTTTGTGTGAAGAACAGAAGTTATTGCTGGGTTTTGTTTATTATTTTGTATGCGGACAGTATAAATTGTCACTTTAAAAAAAATTAAAAAAATTACAACTTTGGGGTTTTGTCATTTATGCTGCGTCCACAGCGAGCCGGAACTTATTCATTCATTCAAGCTTTATTTATCCACGTCTCACTGAGTCACGAGGACTCATTTATAAGAAAGACTTGTTTTAGACAGACAACATATAAAGTACAGACAACAATAAACTACAGTAAAATGCAATTAAAATAAAAGTAGTGTTATAAAACAATAAATCAAGGTGTCATATAAAACATGGTAAAATACTAAAAACAAGAACAGAAAACATTAAAAGCATACTTAATATGTTTATTAATAATTACCGGTATATGTTTTGTATTTTAATAATAGTCAGATCACTTGGACCTGGTCATTTTAAAAGTAGCTCGCATGCTGTAAAAGTGTGGGCACACGTGTCCTAATGCATTAGTTCACAAATTCTTGTCAATACATGCACATAAGGAGTTCATTATGCAGAAACAGATCAAAAATTGGTTAAAGAAGTTTTAAGAATGAGACTCTGGCTTTAAATACAGATGTTCTCAAATTTACGCAGCATCACTAACAATGATGTAGCCTCAAGCCTTCCCAACAGTAAAGAAATATTTATGCTCCAAAGTGTACACACTGAAAGACAAAGATTCTGAGATGGATATTGATTCTGATATTGTTGAAAACTGTCGTTGCTGCAGTGTCATGACAAATGTATAGGCAGAAAAGTGCACAAATGATTTAGTGTGACACATAAAACTGATAAGAGAGATGGGAACATGAAAGAACAAATAGGATCTAAAGTTGGAAAAAGTTAAGATAGATGCACGAGAAACAAAATACATAGTGGATGGGAAAAGTTCAGAGAGAGGAGAAATATGAGACCTTTTGCAAGAGAGCAAGCACCCGAGGGGATAACATGTTGTGAAAAAGCTTAACAGATGCTAAGTAAGAGTCAGAATATGTGTGTTGATGTTTGCTGTTCCAGTCTTCACTCTCAACACAAGAGTTTAAACTCTGGAATATTTTCAGAAAAGGTAATGATCGTTGTGGAGGAAAATATGCACAAAAGCTGAGGGGGGGGGGGGGGGTGATGATCAGATTTCTGTTGACAAGCAGTTGTAAGATTAATTATTTTGCAACACAAATCCTTTTGCATTGTGTAAACAAATGTACCATACATATACTGGACTGCAGTTCGGATGCTGTGGTTCCGTTTTAGGCCCATGCAGACGGCTATGAAGTTCAGAGGTTTGTGTTTAATGTAACAGGTAAAAACCTATTTAACACCAGCTCATGGTGGATGTGAGAAATGTGGGTGCACATGTGGGCAAACATTTTTTTCACAGTTTACAGAATTAAAGCTACAGGTTACAGATTAAACCCAGATGAGAGTAAGTTATAGACTCAGAAGAAGGACTTCCATGTGCTCCGTATTTTCACTGCAGTTGCTGCTAAATGTGTGCTCCATACTGAGAAGACGTTCAGTCAAAGAGTAAATATCTGCACCAAGGCCCACAGAGATGTTCAGGTAACACTACAGGTGTATTTCTCTCCTTCTCTGTTGCAAGTCAGATGGTAAATTACTCCTACAGCAGAGAGGCCCCTTGCCTTACCCTCTCTTTTGCCTTTTTTACAGCTCTCTCCTGAAAATGAGTTTTATTTTAGCAATCTATTGTTGGTCACTTTCTGCCTTGGTCTCGGTTGTGGGAGTGCAGCTATATAATTGTATGCATACCCACATTTTTTTGTTCATGTTACCTAAACTCAAGTACTGACAAACCACTTTAGAATTAAATTAACATTTATTTTTAATAAATGCTGCCATCATAGGCATCATATCAATTAAATGTGAAGGGGACGTGCTCCCCTCACATTTAAAAACTATTAATTTGGACCCCTCCGCATTTACCATGAAATATTAGTTCACCCAGAGCTGTTTCTATTTCTTTGCGAACAAATCCATTCCACTTGATGAAAAGAAGAATACTCAAACCATTAAAAGTCCACTCCAGGTTTTCCTGTTTACCTACAACAATCCTCCACACCACGTGCAGTGTTTCCGTGAGGTCACTTGGCTTGGCAAGGCGCTCATCTCTCTCTTTTTTTTTTTTTGCTGTTGTTGACGAGGCAGGGCAAGAAGGGAGAGACGCCTCTGTGTTGCATGCTAGCTTAGCGCTACATTAGTTCTGGCAATTGTTGACTGGGGGGGGGGGGGGAGTTAGGATGCATGAGAGAAGCAAAGCACTACGTCTGTAACATAGCTTGCGCGTCTGTATTGCGCACCGCTAGCTTAGTGCTACGTTTGTGCCTGCAGTTGTCGACCATGTGGGGGGCGGTGGTGGGGGATTAGGATATAGCGTGCTCTATTCACACAGGGTCCAGCTACTTGTTGTGTTGTGCTCTCTAAAATTCATTCATTCAACCTTTGTTTAGACAGGTAAATCCCATTGAGCCTCGAGGCCTCATTTACAAGAGAGACCTGATTTCAACAAAGAATGATGACAACAATGGACAACAGCGATAACAATAAACAGTTATAAAAAGTCATACAATTTATTATTATTATTATTATTACAAATAGGATGGCTAAAAAAAAGAAAAGTAAAAAGAAAAGTAACAAAAAACAGCTAGATTCTAAGGCGAATGTAGAAAACTAAAAACAGGAACATGTCTGCATTGGTCCCTGCCAGGAGTCCAACAGATTCTTAAAGTCGCTTAGAGAGGTCAAGGTCGAGAGCTTCAGATGTTTTTAAAAGATATTCCAAGAAACAGGAGCGGAGTAGGAGAAGGCCCTTTTGCCTAGTTCAGTCCTCATTGAGGGAACACTGCAGGTAATAATGTCCTGAGAGCGCATGCTGTAGCTTCACTCACGCAGAGACATGTAGGAGGAGATGTATGAAGGCAGCAGACCAAGAAGTGATTTAAAGATGAAAATGTACCAGTGAGAGAGTCTGCGTGAAGTTAATGATGTCCAGTTAAACAGTGAATACTGGGTGCAGTGGTGGGTACGATAATCACAGCCAGTTATGAATCTTAGTGCACCGTGATATAAATAGTAATTGACTCAAGTGTTTATTTTTGTAGGTAAACGTAGATGTTTAACAACCCGTTAAAAGACACCAGAATGCAGGAAATGGTATCTACTTAATTCAAAATTTCCTAGGGAAGGGACCCCCACTACCACCACCAGTGTGTCCTCCCCACATTGCAAATGCTTCCGATGCCAGTGGCTGCCATGCATGCCCAAGATCTTGCTTTTGTTTGAGTACTTACAGTTGGGGGTGACTCTCAGCTACTACCAAATTTTAGCCCAATAGCAGTAAAAATTATTGAGTTAGTAATTTATTGTTTACTAGGGTCAGTTGGGTGTGGTAGACATTTTGAATTGAGTTGACTCCCAAACATATTTCATTATAAACATTTCCCCAATGATTACTTCCTAACAGTTTCAATAAAATTCAACCACCAGTTCATGAAATACTCTGATAACCAACAGACACATGCACATATACTCACACAAACACACACACACACACATACACACACA